TGGGATCTCCATTGGGGGTGGTTGTAAGGTTTTCTTTCATTTTGTCTCCTTTATTATGCTGGGGTTCAAAATATTTTGGTTTACTATTTTGATGGTTTTCAAAATTTTCCAAAAATCTGCATTTATGAATAAGCGTAGGAAAATCCGAAATTTCAAGTATTCCTACTGTTTTTCTCAATTCAGGTCTAAGTCCATTCTCAAATTTTATACACTTCACTCTTTCATCAGGGTGATAAAAGAATGCATAGTATTTTCCTAGCTCTTTGAACTTAGAAGCATATTCTCCTACTGTCATATTTCCTTGCTTTAATTGCATAAACTCTATTTCTTTTGCCCTCCTCACATTATTGGGAAAATATTTTTCTAAAAATTTTGTTCTAAACACCTCCCAAGTACTGATTATTCTCCTTCTTCTAGTAATCTCCTGGTATTATTCCACCAATATTCAGTCTCTCCTATCAACATAAATACAACATAATTCACCTTTTGGTCATCAGGACAATTCATAACTTGAAATATTTTTTCTAATTCTTTAATCCATAATTCAGCCTTTTTTGGGTTATAACCTCTAGAAAATTGCGAAGGTTTGTTTCTCCTAAATTCAACTAAACCTTGTGATCCATTGGTTCCTTCCGGTCTTGGGTTTCTTAATAATGCAGCGGTCATGTCTCGGATAGCTTGTATCGTTTTTGTCAACTCGTTATTCTTTATGTTATTTGCCATCCGGAATTATATAAGTTATAATTCATAAGATATCATGATAGACTCATTTCAAAAACGTTGCTCGATACCATCTAATGTGATATTTTATTATTATTATTATTATTATTATTATTATTATTTATATAAGAGTAGCGAGGTCAAATAAAGATATTACATATATGTAAAAGTAATTTACGATTATATATATATATATATATATATATATATATATATATATATATATATATATATTAAGATATACAAAAGAAGAAGAAATTTTATTTATTTTTTATTCCTTCTATTCTTACTACAATTTTACAAATATCTATATTGCTAATGAAAATAAACTAATTAAGGGGTTTTGGTAAATGGTAAGAGACATACAAAAAGTAATCACTACTGATCCGTCTAACTTAATGAGATTTTCCATATTAGATGCAAATGTTAATATTGATAATCTTGTCCCTTTAAAAGTAACTGAGTTGTCAATAACGTTCGTGTTCCAAGTAATTCTTACAAAGAAGGCGATGATACTTGCGGAAAAGGGATTTAGAATATTTGGCGTCTCCATCTACTTAAGTTGGTATTTAAATAAAACATGCACAAAAGATCACAATAGGGAGTGGGAATATTTATTATTTACAATAATACAATCTTATAATATATATATATATATATATATATATATATGTTTCAACTTCCACTACAAAAAAACGCTTATTATCTACGGGTAAAATCCGTAGGTAATGCACTCACCTTAACAAAATATTTTTATTTATTACAACCCCCTCCCTTATTTTTTATTATTACCTAGAACCCCCTCCCCTTTATATTATATTTTTATTATTTATTATATTTTCAAAACTTTGAATTATTATTAGATTAAGAGAATTGTCATTGGCAGAATTCGAACCCAGTACCTCGAGTTAGAGATCGATACTCCAACCACTAAGTCTATTAGATTATTTTGAAAATAATTTACAAATAAATTATATTTATATTTATCCGTGTAAATATATAAATATAAAATATATATAAATATAAAAAATATATATAAATATAAAATATATATAAATATAAAATATATATAAATATAAAATATATAAATATAAAATATATTTATATTTTGATATATTTATATATTTATACATTTATATATTTGTATTTATATATTTATATTTATATATTTATATATTTATGTATTTATATATTTATGTATTTATATATTTATGTATTTATATATTTATGTATTTATATATTTATGTATTTATATATTTATCTATTTATATATTTATATATTTATATATTTATGTATTTATATATTTATGTATTTATATATTTATATATTTATATATTTATCTATTTATCTATTTATATATTTATGTATTTATGTATTTATATATTTATGTATTTATGTATTTATATATTTGTATATTTATATATTTGTATATTTGTATATTTGTATATTTGTATATTTGTATATTTGTATATTTGTATATTTATATATTTATATATTTATATATTTATATATTTATATATTTATATATTTATATATTTATATATTTATATATTTATATATTTATATATTTATATATTTATATATTTATATATTTATATATTTATATATTTTTATATTTATATATTTTATATTTTATATTTTATATTTTATATATTTTATATTTATATATTTTATATTTATATATTTATATATTTACACGAATTAATATAAGTATAATTTAGTTGTAAATTATTATTAGAATATCCTAATAGTTTAGTGGTTGAAGTATCAGTTTTCAATTTTAAGGTACTTGGGTTCGATTCTTGCTAGTGACAATTCTTTTAGTTTAATATAATTTATCTACGGATAGTAATTCCGTAGGTAATTACCTACGGAATTACCCACGGATGATATTACCTACGGATAATATCCGTAGGTAATGTACAATTTACCTACGGATTTTCATCCGTGGGTAATATCCGTAGGTAATGTAAAATTTACCTATGGATTTGTATCCGTAGGTAATAGGCTTTTTTTTGTAGTGTTCCTCAACACATTCTATTTTATGAAGATTTAAATTAAATTTGTAGTGACTAGTCGGGATAAATGAACTCAATTTTAATCACTCTCTCGGTGATATTTACTCATTTAAATTCCCAAGGTCCATCCTCCATCTACAATATCATCAAATCTTAACAAATAGATATTATTATAAAAATAATAATTAAATAATATAACTATAAATTAATAAATAGGATCGTTACATTACTAGAGATAAAATAAAATAAATAAACGAACTAGTACATAACTAGAGATAATTAAAATAAGACCAATGTAAGACTCGAAGATAAAATAAAATAAACAAACAGGATCATTACATAACTAGAGATAATTCAAATAGGACCAAGTGTAAGATTGGAGATGAAATAAACAAGTATAAGACATAATCATTACGTAGTTAGAGATAAATAAACAAGTAACTAAATAAATAGAATGAAATTATAAATACCTTACTCCACAACTATAAACAAAATAACATAGATTTAATGATAATATTCTTCTTCCCTACCTTAAAAACTACAGATTATGTTCCAAAATTTTGTAGAGACGATTTTATTTTTCTCTTTCTTTTCTCTCCTTATCTTTCTCCCTTTCTCTTTTCTCTCTCTCTCTTTCTCTTCCTCGCTTTCTCTTTCTCTCTTCTTCTTCTTTTTATCTTCCTACGAATCTTCCCCCTTGTTTCCTTTTTATAGCAATTTTTTTCTTTTTTCTTTTATTTATTTAATTAAGTAACCATAAATGCAGTAATTATAATTTTGATAAGGTTTATTTTTTAAGATAAGATAATTTTACCTTTTTTATATATATATATATATATATATATATATATATTAAGAAAATTAATAATTAATAATTTTCTTCTTATTCATTTTTATAAATATAACAAATATATATATTATAATAATTTAACAATAATAACAAATTTTTTTAATATATTTAAATTAATTAAATAATATAATTTAATATATTATAGATGAAAGATGATAAATTTTTGAGATCTTATACTTTCAATTTGACTCCACACTCAGCAACAAAATTTGATAATTCTATTTTGAAAATGGAAATCATAAAAAAGTGATTCTTGGGCCATTGATGATCTCTTTTCTTTGAAAAAGTCAAATGGGAGAACGAAGATAAAAAGTGAATGACAAAGACGACACAGAATATATCAGCATGAAAAAATTGTTTGTTTGAGCATATAAAATATTAATAAATTGTCAATCTTTTTGTCCCTTACGAAAAAAAATTGTTGACCTTGATTACATTTCTTTTAGTAATAAAATAATATTTATTAAATTTAATTCATCTTAATGCCTTCTGTGACTTTAATGCATACAACTTTCAAAATTTAATGAGTGTTATAATTTAAGAGATTTCGTGATAATTTAAAATAGCATTTTATCAGATAACATCCTATGATACAATATTTTTATGGGTATTATATAATTATTTTATCATTATGAAACGAGTAATTAGGAGTTAATATTATATATATATATATATATATATATATATATATATATATATTATAATAATAATAAATATAAAATTGAGATATTTTTATTTTAAAAAAAAAACTATTCCCCGACATTCTCAATCTACAATGAATCACAAAAACATATGACTATGATAAAGTAATGATATTCTTTTGTTAAACAAATGTGGTGATGTGGATCATGTGTTGTTTTGTTAGAAAATAATTATTATAAGGTACAAGTTGAGTACAAAAATTATAGGATTTTAAATTTATAAATGTGTAGTTCAAACTAAACGTGGCCAATTTCACCATATTAGATTCTGAAACTGAAAAACAAAAATCTTCAAACTAAATTGAGTTGGATCTAACAAAAAGAAAAAAAGCGAAGTAAATCAGTTTTACCTGGGATTTGGAGTTCATCGAGTTAACTCATTCTCAAAACATCTATTAATATCCGGAAGAAAAAAATATAATTTTTAAAATTGAAATATGGTAATTTAGGTTTCGAAAAAAATAAAATATATTATTATTCTAAAAAGATTCAAATTCATCCTTAAAAAAAATCAGTTATTTGCTTAAATCATCCTACTCTATTCTCCGGAGGTAAAGATGGAAACGATTCATTTATTTAAATACTAAATTATTATTATTAATAATACTATTAAAATTAATTGTTTTATCATAATAAATTAGGATAAATTATGAATATAGAAAATAAAAACTAATTTTTATTAAGGATATTATTGAAAAAACTTAAAAAAGTTGGAAGATTCAAATAAGAGTGTCAATATCATGGACAATCTCAAAACCAGATTCGTTAACATTGAAGGCCCATTATTTTTTTTTTAAATTAGCCTTTTTCCATTCTGTTTTTGTTATTCAGCGAATTTATTTTTCTGGCCCAACAGCTGAAAAGTACATAATTATAACCCATTAAAATTTTGTGGAAGCCCAGCCATCAATGGTTTCCCAATTTTCAAAATATAGATTTTTAAGCATTATATTAAATCAAAATAAATATTTTTCTGTATTTTTATAATTTGACAAATAAAAGGTAATTTATTCTCATTATATTACTATTATAATAATAATAATTATTATTATTATTATTATATAACCTAGAAAAGAAGACTATTTTTTGTGTTCCACTTCAACATATGATTCATGTAGATGGAAATAGAACAAAAACACATGCTTCCACATGTGCAAATCACATGCCTTATAGACCCAACCCAAGCACCATAAAATAAAAAAATAAAAAAATAAATAAAATCAGTATTCATCAAGTTCAACAGTACAGAATGTGTTGGAATCTTTGGCTTCAAGCTATACGTGCCTACAAGTACAATCATGAAACATCATCCTTCTCTATTTATTTATCAATTAAAATAAGCAAAAAATAAAAATAAAAATGGTGGATGATGGTGTGCCTATGCTTCATCTTGTTTGAGCATTTTCTGACAGGAAGCAAAGTAACCAAAAAGTTATTCTCACAACACAATCATCGCATTGCAGAACCTCATCATTTATTAATCAAAAGAAATAAAAATAAAATGAATCACTAATTCATTCCTATTTTTTATGAACTGGTTTAAAAGATGAAGCTAAAACCAACTTCACAATGCATTGGAGGGGTTTGCTTTTCTAATTATTATGAGATCCCACAACCACTCTTCTCTACTGTTCTAACAAAGTATCTTTTGATCTTCTGTGTCTTGTTCTCTGCATGGAAGAGTAGGTAAAGTGAAAAGGCAATGGCTGATTGATCCCATTCTTTGAAAAATAATCACTACCAAATATTGCTTTAACCCTTGGTTTAGTTAGTCCACACAAATCTAATTACAAAATGTCGTTTGTTCTTTTATTAAAAGCACATTGAGATTCTCGTCCTATAAAGCTCCATTTCATTGGCGATATTAGGGTTTTGTAAAAAGCAGAAGACAAATTACGTGGGAAAAGTACATTGCTTCGGCTTTTAATAGCAAGATCAATTTGCTTTCAGTATTATTAACAATTTAACATTAATTGTTATAATTATTTCATTTTTTATACCAATAGCAAAATGTATGATTTGTCCAATGAAAATGTGTGCAGCAAACACCAATTATTTTTGCAACATTCTGGTGTGGTTGATCATCGAATTAACAACAACATAATATTTCATTCATTCATATATATAATTGTAACAACACCAATTTTTTTTGTTTCTTTTTAACTCAACATGATTATAACAGTATTAGGTTATATTATTAGGAAAACAGATTTTTTTATATAACTTATTTTAGACATTTTTCATGGGTTTTTTAATTAACCTAAAAAAATAGGAGATACTTTTGTATCGGTTGAAAAATACACATATAATAGAAAGAATCTATATTATATCTTTTATACTGTGAAGATTCATAGTATTACATCAATCTGCTTTCAAAATGAATTAAGTCCGATTTGAATACAATCTATATTAACTAATTAAAAGATAATCATAATCACAATGAATTAATGAAATGAAGTGATGATTTTCAAAAAAGGTGAGAAGTAGGGTTCAGTTTGTTTTCATCCCAAAAAAGCAGTATTGCTTGGCTTCATCACTTTCCTTTTGTTTGATGTCACTCAGGTCATTTAGGTGTGTTAGGTTCACAGTCCATCACTTCCATTCTCATTTTTTCATACCTGTTATCCCCCACAATCAACCAACTTCTCTTCATCCATTCATTTTCTTAATTGAATTTAATAAATATTTTTTACCAATAAATTATAAACAATTATGATTTTAAAAATTGTACTTAATGGACCACTTGCTCATCAGAAGAATTTAATTCAAATAAATATGATAGATCAAAAATCAAAACTTCAGACTTTGTCTCCTGCAAGCAACCCTACACTATTACTTTCTGTATTATATAAAAATATAAATATAATGATTATTTATAGATGAATATAAAGTATGAACAATATTGCTTTTATTTATTTGATTCACACTGTGAAATATGTACATGTGTTTAGGTTGGACCTATTTACTCTTCTTCTCAACCAAGGAGGATGGCAATCAAGTGGTTCTTAAATAATCATAAATCTGACTGTACGGGCAGTGATGGACCACGTGTCCAGCTTAAGATGGGGCCTGCCACATTTGACCCTTCCAACTACATTTCCTAATTTCCAAACACTTTCAAATTTATATATTTTTTTAAGGTTAGTTATTAGATACATCTCTGTTCAAATAATTATAATAAATGATAAATTTGAAAAAAAAATGTAATTGAATGTTCATAATTTAAATTCAAAACAATGGTTAAATTAAAATAATTTTAGATTAGTTGATAGAATATATCATATGTCACAAAAGCAGAAAACAAAAACAGAAAAGAAAAGGTTTTAGGTCAAAGGAAGAAACTTGAAAAAGTTGTAATAAATTAATAATTTATTTAATGTACTCTTTACCTTTTGGCGCTTTTTTACTGCAAATTCTATTGAAATTAATATTATTTTTTAGCGGCGACTTCGCCGTTTTTCGCATTTTCTCTCTGTCGTTTGATACTGCACTCTTTATTTTTGTTGTCCGAAACCGTGTTTGCTACTCTCTTACACATAACACATTCTTTTCTCTCGTTTTTGTTATTGGAATCTCGTTTAGGATCCTTTACCCTCTTGATTCCTTCTCACTTCTGAGTTTCTCTGTTTCTTTAGCCACGCTTCCACGAAAAACATAACTGACTGGCTTGTCTTCAGTTCAGGTTTTTTCTCTAGTGTGTGAATTGGTGAGTAAAGGCATCATGGTTTTCCCAGAACATGTTTTCGTTTCCTTTTTTGTGTATTTCTTTTGCTGTCAGTGTTTTGATCTGTCCTCCTACGTTTCTTCGAAGTGTGTTTTGTGTCTCAACGAGGCTGCTTAACTGGATATATGTATGCTTTTTTCATTTTGTTGAAAAAATTGTGTACCCTTTTCATTTCTTTACATGCTTATGTGAATCTGAGTTGAGATTTCAATGGTGGTTTGGAACTTTTTACATCATTTTCATCTTGCTCTCTTTTTCCTGTTTTTTGGTCCTTGTCAATTGGATGGATAGTAAAGTGATTAAGTTTCAAGATTTATGCATTTCAGATTGGTATAGAGGAAAGGATTAGGATTAGATTGTCTTGGATTTGCTTTGGTTATAGTGCTATCTTTCTATTTTGGGTCTTTGATGCATTTCTTGTTCCGTGTGCTAGTGGTTTGGTGAATTTTACTTTTGGATAGGCACGATGGGTGGTAACTGGTGAAGTTGTTGACGATGATAACTTATGCTTGGTTGATTATTTCAATATACTGATGTCATTGTCCAATGTCCAGCATTGATTTTCACCCTAAGATTATTATTTTTATTCCTCTGAATGTTACATACTTCCGAAGACTTTTTGACAATGACTTTGAAAATTAAGAGAAAAAACCTTCAATTGACTTGTTCAAGTTCAATATTGTAAACCAAGCACCACGGAAATCTCTATATCAGTCTGTTACTGGTGGCATATATTTGACTTTGTTCTGTTGCTTGCTATGGCAGGTATATCAATGGATTGGATGATCAATAGGTAACCATAGGGCAGAGGAGGAAGAGGAGAGATGAAAGAGGAGTCAACTGGGCTAATCATCGGGATTTCCATAGGTGTGGTGATTGGAGTTGGTTTGGCAATTTCTGCATTGTTCTGTCTAAGATATCACCGGAAGCGGTCACAAATAGGCAATAGCAGTTCCCGGAGGGCAGCTGCCATACCCATTCGTGAAAATGGTGCTGATTCTTGCACTATTCTATCAGACTCAACCTTGGGTCCAGAATCACCTGTGAGGTCTGGACGAAATGGCACGTCCTTCTGGCTTGATGGCTTAAAAAAGAGTAGTAACATGGTGTCAGCATCTGGAATACCAGAATATTCATACAAGTATGTCTGTTGCCTTATAGTGAGGTTACTTTATGTGCCATTCTTCTTGTTCTTAGATGATCTTTTTCTATGTTCTTGTACATGTGTAAAGACTATATGAACAAGTAATAATCAGCTGCACTTTTTTTTTATGTGAAATATGAAATGATTATCTCTAAATAAAACTTAAATGCTTAGTGGTATTTGTTCTTTGAAGAGAAACTCAGTGGAGTTATGGAGTAATTAGGTTGGAGCATTTAAATATTGGAAGAGAACAAAGAAATGGATGGCTTTAAGCTACCATAACTCCATTGTACTTGTTAAATGCTCGATTGTCTCAAAACAATAGAATCATCATGTCTCTTCTTCCACTCTTATGCTTGAAATTTTGTAATTTTAGTCACTACTGCATATTTCTATAAGTGAAATGAAGTTAACAATAGTTTGAACAAAGAACAACTTCTTTCATGTCATTTATCTCTTTCTTCTTTCTTTCTGTTAAAGTCTTTTATCTATGCTTCAGGGATTTGCAAAAGGCAACATATAATTTTACAACACTCATAGGACAGGGTGCATTTGGTCCTGTTTATAAAGCTCAGATGTCAACTGGGGAGACTGTTGCAGTTAAAGTTCTCGCAACTAATTCTAAACAAGGGGAGAAAGAATTTCACACAGAGGTGAAGATATTATTTTTTTTTTCAGTATTTTGGTATGCGAAGAATAATTGATGTCTGGATTTCATTTTGGAAAATCACAATATGAAAAATTTGATTTTTTACGATAACCTGAAAAAATATTTTTTTGTAAGTAATACCTTTGTACCAACTTTGTCAACTTGCATGTTCCCATTTTATATAACTCAATTCCAATTGATATTAGCAGTTGTGCTGTATCAAGGTATCATATGATTAATTATCTGTGTGATCTTTCTGCTTCACTACGGACCAGAATAATTTGCCAATTTTAACCTTTTATGTTCCTTAAATTTTTCTCAGGTGATGTTGTTGGGAAGGTTACATCATAGAAATCTGGTGAATTTGGTTGGGTATTGTGCGGAAAAGGGGCAACATATGCTTATATATGTCTACATGAGTAAAGGCAGCTTGGCTTCCCACTTGTATAGTAAGTTAGCTGTCTATGTTTTCTGGTTAACAAACTTTTATGCTACTCATGGCACTTGCTCAATGGATTGGGTCAATTAATTTTGGTTGGTAACTGTCAAAGTGATTGAATTGGGATTGGCTTCTGGTTTGAATTAGTGATTAAAGTCGTGAGGCTTTAGCTTACCATTATTGGATTGAATAGGACTTCATCAATTTGGAGAGTGATGCTATTTCAGCCTTAGTGTTTGTTCTTGCGGGTTAATGAAAGCAGCATCCCCTGGAACAATACATGATCCCCTACCCTTCATTTTTAGTTTTAATTAAAAAAAAAAAAGATAAAAACAAATAGGTTCATGTATAGACCGAAATCCTATTTTTTGTTCTGAATATGTTTCATGGATTTTCTATATTCACGATCTGAAACATGAAACTATTTCTTTTGTTGGTGGTAATGCAAACTTTTCTGGACCTGTATAAAGCAATTATGAAACTACCTTTTTGGTTTATGTGAATTATGTTTTGATTCTAAATCATGGTAGCAAGGTACGAAATAGTACTTTGATACTGTGTGCCTATCAATTATTTTGCGATTATTATTGGCTATTCTTTTTTATGTTCAACTTCAATCTGCAACAATAACCGAAGCATATATCCTTGTCTTATATTCAGGTGAAGAGAATGGAGCTCTGGGTTGGGAATTGAGGGTTCATATAGCTTTAGATGTAGCAAGAGGCATAGAGTATCTTCATGTTGGGGTAAGTTTCCTTGTGATCTGCACTAAGACAATTCTGCTTTCTCTATATATTATATCATGATCATATTTGTTTACACTTCAGGCAGTTCCTCCAGTAATCCATAGAGATATCAAATCTTCCAATATTCTCTTGGACCAGTCCATGCGAGCCAGGGTATGCAATTGCTAATCATCACCTTTTTAACAAAGTAGATTGTAAAAGAGAGGAGGGCTTGGTTTAAGTATTTTTTTACTCTTTAAAAATATAGTGAACTTTGGTTTTAATCCTTCGATTTTTATTTTTGTTGTTGTTTTTGGTCTTTATAATTTTTTTATAACAGCCCCTATTACTATTAGTAGTATGTCATTTCAGTGACTGTTCCAACATGTCCTCCGACGTGGCATGTCTAGAGATAATGTTGAATGAATAGGTCTATATTTCTTTGTCAGTTAGTGTTTTAGGATGCTTCTTATGCAGTAGTTGTTGATGTTGAATCGAACAGGTTGCTGATTTTGGACTCTCAAGAGAAGAGATGGTGGATAAACATGCTGCAATTCGGGGCACCTTTGGTTATCTTGATCCTGAGTATATCTCTTCAGGAACATTCACCAAAAAGAGTGATGTATACAGTTTTGGGGTTTTGCTCTTTGAACTTATAGCTGGCCGAAATCCTCAGCAAGGTCTAATGGAATATGTTGAGCTTGTAAGATCTCTCTCTCCCTCCTTCTCTACCTATAAGCCCTACAGAAGATAATGGATTTCGCGTTTTTTTAAGGGTGATACATATTATTATATAATAGAACTTCAAAACAAATCATTGCGAAGCATGTATTTGATGACTCTAATATGATGATGACAATGACATGATGGCATTGTCCTATCAAAATCCTTTGTTGTAACAGCACACTATGCATGATTCATTCTTTTATTCTAATGATGCTGTTAATGAATGATCAGGCAGCCATGAACAGTGAGGGGAAAGTTGGTTGGGAGGAGATAGTTGATTCTAGGCTTGAGGGAAAATGTGATTTTGAAGAGCTGAATGAAGTGGCGGCCCTTGCCTACAAATGCATCAGCCGTGCCCCCAAGAAACGTCCTTCAATGAGGGACATTGTGCAAGTTTTGACTCGAATCCTTAAATCAAGGCACCAAAGGAATCATCATCACAAAAAGTCCCTCTCAGCCACAGCTGATGAAGTTTCAATTGATGTTGATCAGCTAGAAACCAAGAGTTCTCTCCCTGCCCACAGAAGAGAAGAATCTATAGATAGTACAGCTGACATGTATGATTTGTAGAAAGATGGTTTTGCATTTAGCTCACTTTTTTTATTTCATTGAATTTTTTGTATTTGCCTTTAGAAATGTGATGTGGCCGTAACTTGATAGGAGGCACCAGTGATTTGATGATGCCAGGCATCATCTTTTGTATTGTGATAACAATTTTTTTCTGTTTCTCATTTTTTGTTATTTATCTACCTCAGTTCTGTTATCTCGCAGAAATGACACTGAAAATTTGTATATTAATACTTCGAGGAATGATTTTGAAGCAAAAAAGATAAAGTTACCTTTCTTGTCCTAAATCAACTTTTATACTCTATTAACATCCTACATAGTTTATTATATATGTAAATATGGTTAATTTTATTCATTAGTTAACTGTATTAAATATTTCAATAAATTCATATATTTTTAACCACATCTGAGGCGAATTTAATCACCCATAAGTATTTATTTAATTAAGACCAGGACAAGACACTATTAATGACATAGTCCTCTTTCAACTTAGTAAACCATATCTGCATATTAATTGACCGTAGGTGACAACCGGAAATACAGTATTATTAACCATATTTATGTGTAGTTAATTACTTGCGATGCTTAATGACCTCGTGATAATGGTAACTAAAATAAATTATTACTATTAAATATTTCATTGACCTCGTAATTCGGTTAACCAAACATAGACAATCATATACAACATATGTATCCATTTTATTAACTTTTTAGACAACTATTTTTATTTAACAACAACGAGAATAAATTAATATCTAATTTTATGAAAGAAAATGGGCCAACATTTGGGCTTAGTACATGAAACCCACGGTCCATTTTGAAACCAACCGATACGTCGTCGTTTCGCTGTCCATTTTAGCTCCTCTCCACTATTCTTTTTCTCTGGCCTGGCTTTATCCAAAAGCATTATTATCGGAAGCAGAAAGAACAAGAGGTTGCAGCAACAATGGCAGCCATGGCTGCTCTTCAGAGCTCAATGACCGGTCTCTCCCTCTCCTCCAACTCTTTCTTAGGCCAGCGCTTTTCTCCCATCACTCTCCCCTCTCTTCTTCCGGTATGCACTTTTCTCTCCGCTCATCACTCATTTCCCAACTTTTTGATTTTTTATTTTCAGTTCAAGTTTCGATTTTGTCCTCCCCGCGTGCTTCCTTTCTCCCAATAACTAACTGGGTCTGCTGACTTTTAATAATTCATGAGAATTAGCAATTCAAGTTTTTCTAATTTTTTCTTCCGTTTTTAGTCTTCCAATGTAAATATGGTGATATTGTTTTTTGTAAGAGCATGTTTATTCATTAAAATGACTACGTATTTGACATTAATCTGCCATTGGAAAATAGTTGGTAGTAGCACAGGGAATGAATATAAACTATCCCATTGTGGGTAGGAAAAAAAAAGAATCAATTAATAAATGTACATTTTCTGGTTGAAGCTATTTTTAATGGACCTTGATGCCTGTAAAAATGGATAATTATGCCCCTATATTATAGTTGTATTCAAAAGTTTTGCTTCATAGACCTCAAAGTACTGGTGCTTGAAAATTTTGAGATGGGAAATTCAAATCTGGTTTTCACTATTCACAGATCACGTTCCTCACTCCATATAGTCGTAAGGCCAGTAATTCAAACTTTACTAGGTTCATTTGTTTGGTACTCGTCTATGTGGTACTTTTGAAGTTGGGAGAAATTCACTTAGCAAACTTTCAGTTGAAGTTGTGGCCTTGTTAGGCTGAGGAAACATATTCTACATATGTGGATGATGTTACAACACTTTAAATTTGTTGTAGCTATTTTCTAACTTTGGATTAGTTTTTTACAATTGAGGAGTGTTAGCAACACACTTACTAATACACACTTGACTATTGGTTTAAATTTATTGAAACTACCTAATCAGTAGAGAGACTCATTAAATGAAAAGTGAGGCCTGTCAAAATTTGTGATTTCCAATGAATTTCTGTCTATAGTGGACTGTTAAAAGAAAAGTATGTTAGAGAATATGTTGTTAGCATTTCTCTTTAGTCTTTACTAGTTTATTAACTTTATTTATCCTCTGTGCTAGCTTTCGCAAACTTTGGCTCTATAGAACACAATTGCATATCATGTTTTAATGAATAATAAGTTATACTGCAGCAGCTATGATTTTGTTTTCCTCTTGGTGCGTGTTTGGGCTAATTATTTGCATATTTTGATAACCTTTCTGGGAGAACTTTTGAAAATAAGCGATTGTTTATCCAAATTTCTTATCCTACTTATTATCTAGATGTCTCCAACAAATCTACAGTGATTTTTCTTATTAATATTATCTTTTAAGAAACCCTCTGGAAGAGCCGCAAATGTTTAGATTCTTTTAATTTCTTTTGCTCATCATTTTGTTGCAACTTGCAAGAGTGCTCATTAAAAAAAAAAGAATTGAATGGGTATTAACGATAAAATAAATTAAGTTTGTAACTAAATTTCATAGTTCCTTCAAGAGTTCTGTGGAGAAACCGGATAATTGATATTAATTTATCTTTGTGCTTTGCAGGGTAAGTCAACAGAGAAGCAATGTCCCATTGTAATGAGGGTTAGTATCAGATTCTTGCCGTATGCATGACCAATGACTACTCTTTTAAAATTTAATCAAGCTCAATAAAAATGGACTGAATAACAGTGCATCTGTAGTTAATTGCAGTTGATTATTGTTGATACTTGGTGGTACTGAATAAAACCAGCTTCATTAAAAATATTTTGCTTATATCAGCACAACGTAGCATGATCCAGGTTTCAGTCAATGCTTGTGAAACGCATTTTAACCAGACTTAATATAAAGAATTCTACAGAATTTTTGAGCCATATTTTGCTCTGTATTTAAAAAACTTGTTAAACAAATGTAGTACCTAGCTTCTTCCGAGGAAAATTTTGTCATATATGAATAGTATGTAGAACTTACCACTGACACAGGATCCATTTTCAGTTGTCTTTACCATGAGGAAATTCTAAGCAAATCATAAAGTTTCAATAATATAATTTTGTGTGGCTAGCCTTGACAATTATTCTCTTCTGCTTCTGCTCTGGCAGCTTAAACGATGGGAACGAAAGAAGTGTAAACCAAACAGCCTTCCTATCTTGCACAAAATGCATGTTAGACTTGGAGATACGGTGCAAATCATAACTGGAAGTGAAAGGGGTAAAGTTGGGGAGATTACTAGAATCTTCAAGCATAACAGCACTGTAATAGTGAAAGATTTAAATTTGAAGACAAAGCATGTGAAGAGTAAAGAAGAGGGGGAACCGGGGCAAATTATTAAGGTTGCCCTCATTTTCTTTGCTTCACTACTATAAATTCTTTTCCACTTTTGCAGTTTCTTCAAGAAATGCAAGTAACTTTTGTTTTTCACTTAGAAAATATGGATAATTGGATATACTATTAGTTTGACATATCGCTCACTGGTTATCATAGGCATGTTTGGATACAAGCTAGAAGTGCTTATGAGAATTTCTCTACTAGAAATATAGAGTTTGTTTCATTACAAAAGCTCTCGAAAGCATTTCTAGCTTTGTATACATTACATATAAATAATTGTTCATTGGCGTGTATGTTCAAGGACTAATACTTTTGCGAAACATGGTTTTTTTCTGTCAAATTCCAGATTGAAGGTCCTATCCACAGCTCAAATGTGATGCTGTACTCCAAAGATCAGAATGTAGCAAGCCGAGTGGGGCATAAAGTCCTTGATAATGGTAAAAAGGTCAGGTACCTTATAAAAACTGGAGAAATAATTGATAGTGCAGAGAATTGGAAGAAACTGAAGGAGGAGGCTAGTAAGAAACCTGAAGAAGCTGCTGCTGCTGCCTAGTTTTTCTTTTGTAATTCATTCATTCACTAGTAATGTAACTCTAGCTGTACTTGTTGTGATCTCTTTTCCATTTTATCATCTAATGTATATTTTGGTTTCTGTATTGATCTCCATATGAAAAACCTGGGTGATTAAATTTGTTACTGGTTGTTCATTTTGTGCAAATTGAATTTTTTTGAAAAGAAATTGTTGTGAGAATGGTTGTTTCTTTTTGAGTAACTCTGCTCAATTGAACCAGGAATTTTGGTAATGCACAGGTCTAGGCACTTGGCAGAATTGTCAGGGGTATCTTGGCAATTTAACTAAACCTAGACAGTTTTAGAAAAAAAAATCAAAACCTTTTTTTAGTGATATAGTTAATGTCCTAAGGTAAAAATAAAGCTTCTACAATTTTTGCAATTATATTTTTGGTTAAAAATGATATTTATGGGTATGTAAATAATTCTCTGGGTTGTGTTGTGGCCCAAAAAATTGTCTTTGGATAGTACTGAACAGCCTTGAGACATTGGTGAGTGCCATAATTCTCAAATTTCTTCGAAATTTGAATTCAAGTTTTTATATTAATTGAAAAATAAAAATCAATGATAGTCAACGTCATAAAGAATTAGTCAAAAACAAACTCTAACATAATATTTTCTTGAAAATGAAACTACCAATGAATGCTAATACTGTTGAAAGACCAACTTGTTTTTTTTTTTTTTCTTTAACTTTTCAGTAGTTGGAGAATGACTTCTCATGACATTTTCACCGACAAATTTAGAGAGTTACTCCACAAATGTTCACTCATTATTAAAACTAGAATAAAACATTGAATAGTAAACACGTGTTAATGTTAACAAAAATTATATATTTATGAGAGTATTTTTTATTATTTAAAATTATAAATATCAAATTTCAGTAAAAAAAATTAGAAAAATAAAATAAAATTCTCCTTATTATTTTCTCTTTCACATTTACTTCTCTTCTTTTTTATGTATAAATATTTAAATTCATATAATGTTTGATGGTAAAAATTTAAATTTTAATATACATTAATTTGTTAGATAAACTGCTATATCTCTTAATAAAGTTTAAGAAATTTGAATGAATTTATTTAAATAAAACATATAAAAATATGAAAATAAATAAATTAAAAACATTTCAAGTTCTATATTTTTTTATTCAAACACGTCCTAAAATATGGATTATCTTTGTGCTCGTTCTCGATCAGAGATTTACCATATATATATATATATATATAATTTTGCCACCATCTACAGTAAAATATATATAAAAAAAATTATGCGTCATTCTCGTTTATTTATTATAATATTGGCTTCATTTGAAACTATCTTGGACTGGTTGGAGTTTTAGGAAATTAATTTGATATATTTTCTATAAATGTCGATTTGAGTTTACCTAACACGATATTATGTGATATGATATCTAATCAAGTTACATTAATAATAATATGTAATTAAATCACACTCTAAATTTCAGGTTGATATATTTTTGTTTAAAACTTGATTTTACTCTATTGTTTTAAAACATGATTAATTAATTTTATCACTGTTAAATATTAAATTTAAATATAAAAAACTATAAGCAAATATATTATAAGTTATTCTCTTTATCCTATTTAAGATATTATAAAATTTTAATCAAATTATAAATTTATAACTTATTTCAATAAAACTGAATTCGAATTACTTATATAAAACATTGTAAACTGCAATAAATTTATTATATAATTATGTTTATATGAATAAAACGTTAAGAAATAATTACAAATATTACATACTGGTATTATGATATAATGTCAGTTTTTGATATTAAAAGGTTCTTAAGATTTATAACATATTTTTATTATTATTTATCTTAAAATGGATATTAAAATAATAATGAAATCTTAAGGATACAAAAAATTAGAAGAAATAATACCAAAATTTACATATTTTATAAGGATTTAAAATAGTGGTTTTACAATTTATACGATGAAAAATTATAAAATAAATAATTTGTTACAAGATCAAAATTGAAACTAATTTTACATGCAGTAAAAGCATTTTTAAACTTTATTTATAGAAACAAATTGTTACATTTTGTTCATATTAATAAGTAAGATAGTTTGTTTTTTTATCTAACATATTTATTTATTTTATTTACAACTGGCTTAACACATGTATATCTAAGATTATTAAAAATAAAAAGTGGATTATCTAAGATTATTAAGTGAAAAAATGGACTGAGGAGTAAAATTTAAAATTTGACAGGTTAAGTTAATAAAGAGTTATACATTAAAAAATTTAACTATTTTAATTTTATTATCAGAAAATTATCATTAATTCTTTTTTCAACTTCTTTTTAATTTTTTCATTTTCTTTTATATTTTTCTTTATCCTAGCTATAGAGATCATTTTTATCGGATTAAAATTATAAATAAGATAAATTTTTTCTCAATTTTAGAAAATTTTATATATTAGGAATTATTATCGCATGTAAACAAATTGTATTTGCATGTAATTTTTTAGACAAAAATGAATTTTAACTAATTTAAGAGTTTTGTAATATATTTAATTTGTTAATTAAGATTTTTTATAAGGATTTAACTTTTAAAAATAACTCATTTTTAATATTGTATGTAAATTTATTAAAATTTTATAGAAAATATCTTGTAAAATATGAAAATTTTTAGTTGTGTTTTCAAGAATTATGAACTAATATTTAATAGTTTTTACATAATAATACAATACATTCTTAAGGCACACTCCAAAACAGAATTTAATTATGATCAGAATTTGGTACATGCATGTGTAACAATGACTTGTGGGCACATCTATCATCTACTCAATTTCATAACATTTGCCAAACATGCACACCAACTCATAAAGTCATAATAATATTTTGCATTTATACTTCTACAGTATTATTTTCGTAATAACAATTTTAAAATTATATTTATAATATTTTGTACTTAAAAATTTTTCTTAGGTCCTCCAAATTTACAAAACTACCATACATATTTTTTTTTCAATTAGTTAGAGATTTGAGAATATATTTTTAAAATCGACATTTCAAATGAGAGTAACCAATCAAACAATTTTATTATAAAATTTTCAAAAATATATGTCATAGAATTAAAATATAAATAAATTATAAGAAAATGTAATTTTATCTTCAAAGCCTAATCCTGCGTCAATTTGTATGAAATTGTTTCAATTTAATGCATTTTTTAAAAATACATTTTCTAAAAAATATTTCATTCTCATAAATATGCATAGAAAACTTTTTTTATGTATTGTAATATTATAAAACTTGAAATTCATAAAAACAAATATAATCTTATAAAAAGAACAACAAGAACAAGGTAGGTGGGTAGAAACGTTTCAGAATGAGTCATTGGTGAACCCTAGAACAATTTATTAGAGTACGATGGTACGTGTTGGATGCGAAGTACTGCGTGATACACGTATTCACAGTCTCAACAAATACTAACACAAATAATAATAATAATAATAATAATAATAATAATAATAAAACGTCGATTATCACACAGATCATGTTATCTCTTATATTATTATTTTAACAAACTAATAATTAATCATAACTGTACATGCAGCGAATATTAGTTTAAAAGGTCATGGACTCATCAAATTGGGAACTGATAAAGAAAAGGAGGAAATGGAGGAAGCACTTATGAGGGTGAAGAAGAGGAAAGATGAAGGTGCTTCTTCTCCTTCAACGACATACTGTGTCACTGGAGCAACAGGGTATATTGGTTCATGGCTTGTGAAGACTCTTCTTGAAAGAGGCTACACTGTTCATGCCACTGTTAGAGATCCTGGTTAGTACACAAACCTTTTTTTTTTTTTAAATAAATTTTTGTTATGTTATAAATCCTATCTTAATCAAGGTTTATTGAATATAGTTATTGTGTAATATATCTGAGTCAGGAATTTAACTTCAAAAACAAACCAGACAAATCAATACCTTCAAGTTTCAGTGTTACAGAGCCAACAATTTATATAAGATTTATAAACATCATATGACATTTAGTTAACAACTTTGAGTCAAAGGATAAATGATTTTTTTTTCAACTAATATATATATATATATTATAGTGTTATGATATAATGTCAGTCTATGATATTTAATTCAGACATTTTATTAGAATTCAAATAAAAAACAATAAGAAGATACTTAGTGCTGCAGGGTAATAAGATGAAGGGTAAAACAAACAGAACTTCATCAAAATATTGCATCAATTAAATCAATTAATGATTGATACTTTTTCCTTATCTTGGTTTAATAATTTAATGTGCCACCAGAAAAATCATTACACCTGCTGTCATTATGGACAAGAGGCGACCGATTGAGAGTTTTCAAAGCGGATTTGAATGAAGAAGGGAGTTTTGATGAGGCTGTAAGAGACTGTGATGGCGTTTTTCATGTTGCAGCTTCAATGGAATTCAATGTGGGTCAGAAAGAAAACATTGGTAATGTCTCGACCAATGCTTTCAATCAAACTTAAAAGAGACATACACAAGCTTTTTTACACTTTTAATGAAACTTGTGCCTTGTGTATTTGAACATGCAGAGGCCTATGTTCAAACAAATATAATTGATCCTTCAATCAAAGGGACCTTAAACCTTCTAAAGTCCTGCATGAATTCCAATTCTGTGAAAAGGGTTGTTTTCACATCCTCAATCAGTACCATCACTGCCAAAGACAACAATGGGAAGTGGAAACCTGTTGTTGATGAATCTTGCCAGATCCAAAGTGAACATGTGTTGAAAACAAAAGCAAGTGGATGGGTACGTAATGCTTTCCCTTGCTAGCTTTTATTTTTTGTGTACAGTGTTAGAACTTAGAATCTTATGCTAGCTAGTTTTCACTTGTATAGTATGTTGCTTTCTTTTGAGAGTTTCTCCAATGGCAGGTTTATGCCCTTTCAAAGCTTCTAACAGAAGAGGCAGCATTTAAGTTTGCAAAAGAGAATGACATTGATCTTGTGTCAGTC